CACACACACATATTGAAAACAATTTTCTGGATAGTCTCTGTGGTGCACAATTTGCCTCAGACTGAAGTTATTTATGTTTTTACAAGAAAAAAAAATCCAGGCCTACATAAATGGGGTCACAGCTTCAGGAACTAAAACCCAAAACTAAGAGGAAAAGCAAAAGGCAATAGATCCTTTCTTCTTTTGACACTAAGTGTTCTCTGGGCAAAAGTTACCAGTTGCAGATAAAAAGCAAACACCTTTCCCAGAGATCTTCCCACTGAGCACAGCAACTACTCATTAGCCAGCCGTGCTTCTACCCTTCAGCAGCCAGGGGCCCCACCTGTGCCAGAGCCCACTAACAAGGACAGCCCTTCCTCTAAAACTGCTGCTTTCTTAGGGCAAGACAAGGGATTCCCCAGAGGCGAGTCCTGGGACAGGGACTTGAGAGGAAAGCAAGGCCCGAGGAAGCGCACAGACAGGCAGGAGGAACGCCCATGCACACTGACACCGGACGCAGCGGGCCTGTTCTGGAAGCAGAGGAGAGACCCAGATCACTGCAGGAGCTCTGCAAAAAGGAACCCTTCAGAACGAAGACCTTTTAAAAAGTTCTGTCTTAAGCTGTCTATTTTCACCGCCAGGAGGCAGTAGGGGAAAACGTAGTTCTTTATTTTATTTATTTTTATTTTTTGGTACCAGGGATCGAACTCGGGCCCTTGTGCTTGCAAGGCAGGTGCCGGAACCACTGAGCTAAATCCCTGGCCCTGTAGTTCTTTATTTTAATTTCATTCCCTTGTCCCAGTAAATCAGAGCAGGTTTGCAGATTCTCTGCAATCAGCATCATGGACCAGCAGGTTGCACTAGGAGGCAACTTGGCGAGGTTGCTGTTGGGGGTCTCATCTTAATCAGAGGGAGAAGGAAAAACTGGAATGCCTGGTAGCACTCCTACCAGAAGCAGCTCCCTTTACTAACAGTAAATTTAAAACACAGTGTCTTACACTGGTCTCTAATTTCAGAAACTAGAGAAAATATGGCAGCCATAAATGAATTTTCTACTTTCTGTCAGGTATGCTGACAGACACTGACCAGCAGGGGGAGTGCTCATCAAAGCAATCAGTGCTGAGGACCTCAAATCAGATTAGACAACTTGTGGGAAACTCTCTCCAGAATTTCTACATCTCCTTTATCTAATATATTTTATACTTTGATCCATTATCATTCCTTTCACAATAACTGTACTAACACTGGAACATATTATGATTATGAATTAGGTAAAGGCCAGGCTCCCAAGACAAAATTGTTTCATCGAATATTCTTTATACAGGAAAAGTGCCTATTCATTAAACAAATGAATTTACAGAGCTTAGTCATGACACACAATTTCTTCAGGACATAAATCGCTTTGAAAGCCACATGCACAGAAATATTGAAGTCAATGTCCCATAGTCAGATTATGCAGTTAGTGTTTAAGTGTATCAATAAGCATTTTAATCTGGAATCAATCTGTGTTATCGGGGAAATATCCACACAGTTAAGTGCCCTCTTACATTCTCAGGATCTTCAGATATCTGTTTCTTTTGCTATCAGTAAAAAAATAAAAAAATTAAACAACAACCAAAAAGAAATTTAACTAAAGCTTCTATGTGTTAGGGTTTCAAGATAACTTTATATGGTTAATTCCAAGTCAGTTTATCAGACAGACTACCCTAGCCCAGTGCTGATGTAAATACTTTACCTCGACCCGCTCCACACACCAGAGGCTACAATTCGTGTGAATTAGATGATGATATGAAACTTCTAATGAGACTTTGGTGGGGTTTTAAATGGATGAAAACAACACAAAAGTCAACTGAAGGATTGCAACTGTATATGGAATGAGCAAAGATGTCTATTAAATTATACAAACCATTACTGCACCCTATAAAACCAGAACTCAGAAAATGTTTCCCCTATTCTTTGATGACTGTCAAGATATCTTTATTCCCAAAGAAATTAGAGTTCCTCTTTGGTAGTATCCTGAAATTTAAGCATAGTATGGGCAGCCAATAAACTCTAAAGTTATAATGGTAACAAAAATGTATCTTTCAAGAACCTCATTGGCAAGTGCTATTTCTACTAAAATATTACACACAAATTAAAGAATATCACTGAATTTTCAAAAATTGAAAAAGTAAATTTATATTTGTCATATATCTGGCAGTGGTTTAAGTATCAGAATGGCTAGGCATGGCTGTGCATGGCTGTAATCACTGCACTTAGGAGGCTGAGGCAGGAGGACTACAGAAGGTACTACATAGTGAGTTCAAGGCCACCCTGAACATAGCAAGACCCTATCTCAAAAAACAAAAAGTAAACAAATGAAAAGAATCAGAACCATTTCTTCTTCTTTTTTTTTTTTTCTTCTGGTACCAGGAATCATACTCAAGAGAACTATTTCATTTAATTTTGGTGTCTAATTCAAAACTAACATGAATAATTCTTAAGAGAAATTTGATGCTAAAAAGAAAAGTATGAATTTTTTAAATGCCATGAAAGTCAAAGAGGTTGAAATATGAATTACTCTTTGTTTTTGCTCTGGTAACTACTTTTTTAAAAAATGTCAATTTTCTGGGGTGAGGGTGCAGCTCAGTGATAAAAAGGCCTGCAATTGATTGCGTGTGCGTTACACACACTGTCAGGCATGGTACCACATGCCTGTATCGCCAGCACTCTCAGAGGCTAAGGCAGGATGATCACAAGTTCAAGCCCAGCATGGGCAACATAGCAAGACCTGATCTCAAATAATAGAAAAAAGGAAAAAAAAAAAAAAATAGGAGGGGTGTGTGTGAGACTTAGGTATATAGCTCAGTAGGAATGACTGGGTTCAATCACCATTACCTCAAAGAAAAAAAACACTAAAAAATATAATGTATCCTTTTATAGGGTTAAAAAAGATTTATTCTGCTAAACTGAAAAGCTAAGCTAAGGATGAGGCAAAAAAACAGAAACAAAAAAACTCTGTTATACTTATGAACAAATGCTGTTTTATGGAGCATGGTGGGACACACCTGTAACCACAAGTAGTTGGAAGGCTGAGGCACGAGGTCCTCAAGTTCAAGGCCAGCCTAGGCAAATTAATAAGATCCTGTCTCAAAATTAAAAAGGACTGAGGATATAACTCATGGCAGAGCAACTATCTAGCGTGTGCAAGGCCTGCTTTCAATTCTAGTGTCCCCTAAAAAAAGCTCTTTTAAAATACCATTTCTTATAACCGGAAGAATACATACAGTCTCGCTCAGAGCTGCTTTAAAACGAGGACACACTGCCAGATTTATGATTTGATTAAATCCAATTTGTGGGTGCTTTGAACTCTGAAGTACTAAAACAGTAAACATCTGCTCCACAGGACAGGGACACCACAGTCCCAGGACCACAGGGGCCAACCCACAGCCAGCGTGGCCAGAGCCCAGGGTGCCGGCCATCGACCCCAGCAGCTGCGTGAGCCCATACTTTCCACACCAGTCCACACAAAAGCTTTAGCACACTGGAAAGGTTTACCTCAAGATCGCCTTTGGTAATTGATTCTTCTTCTACCCGGAACTGCAGGTCCTCAACTTTCCTGTGGAATAAACCCACACAAAGCATGTAAGAAGGTAACGAAGGAACATGGCTGCCGAACCCTCCCCACAAAGTCTATGCTTAATGTCCTGACAAACTCAGCAAGTGATGGTGAAAGAAATGCCTTGGCAAGACAGAAAATAAAGAAATCCACTTTTAGGACTCCAGCTTATAAGAGCTAAACACTAGTTATTTAGGAAATTCCAAGTTTTATCTAGGTACTGACTCCAGAAGGAATGAGATATCACTGAAAAAAATTAACTGGTTCCCTGGTCATGGACACGAGAATGGATCTATCAAGATTAGACCAGCCTACATAAAAATATTTCTACAGCACTTGGGAGGCTGAAGCAGGAAGATCACGGTGAGTTCAAGGCCAGCCTAGACTACATGGCGAGACCCTGTCTCCAAAAATAAGAAAATATTTCTATTACCACAGAAATAGCCTTGAGATTTCTATTCCATAATTTCTAATCTGCAATATAGAACATGGAGAGTGGCATGGAAATCAAACTTTCTGTGTTACCCTGTAACAGGCACCTTGCGGCAGGGTCAACAGACTTCTCAGAGAGCCCACTCAACATTAGTCTTTACTCCAAACAACACCAGCACCTGCTCCAACCGAGGGAAAAGAGCGCTGTGAATGATGGGGAGAAGCAACCAAGAATCCTGTTCTTCAATTCCACTTTCTTTTGTACCAGGGATCAAACTCAGGATGCCCCACTTGCAAGGCCAGTGCAGTGCCACTGAGCTACATCCCTGGCCCTTGTTCTTCAATTCTAAAATGCACTTTCAGACATTTTTTTCCCCCATTACTGGGGATCAAGCTCGGGACCTCGCACTGTGAGGCAGCCATCCTGCCACTGTGCAGAAACCTCAGTTCAGATGTTTTAAAATAAATCTGCCATTGGGTGTGGTTTCATTCAATGTCACCACAAAGTCGATGAAAGATAACAATAGTCAGATTTACAATATCCATGTTACATCTGCACCATGCTGCTTCTTGTTGCTGCTTTGTACTGGCAACCAAACAGGCACCAGCCACATGCATGCCAAGCACATACTCCGCCACTCGGCTACACCCGCTTATCCCCAGATTACTAATCTTCACAAAAGTGAGTAGAAGGCAAAGAAAAAGTTCAATCTATGTGTAAAACAAAACAGAGTCCTTCCAAGTAACATTTCTGGCAAAGAAAGAATACAAAATTATCCTCCATCAAGTGGGAACTCTCATCATAGATTAAAGCCCTCAACCTATGGGGGAGCTGGGACGGCTCTATTGCTCAGCAGTCCACAGAGCCACAGCTAATGTGAGGACAGAAACAAATGGCACTGGTGCTATGACCTTCTGGAGGGCCTAGAAGAGTCCATCACAATCTCTAACTTTTTTGGACTTGAGAAAGTCCCAGGACCGGTGCTTCTCTCTCAATGGAGGAAGTGCTTTCCTTGCTAAGAGCCAACTGGCTCTGCGTCCCCCAGCACAACAGCACCTGGGGCCATCCTGCATGTGTGGTGACATGAGGTTATTACTGAACTAAGAAATGAGATGACTCAAGTCCAACAGGAGCCAACATTCCACCCCCAGGGATGGTCACATGGTCTCCACGTAGATGCTTTTCTCAGAGTTCTTATTTGTTTGTGGCGTCAAGAAACCTCCTGGATAAGAACTAAACTTTGCTGCCTCATACCATTCAGCATCTTTTTTTGTTTGTTTTTGTTTTGAAACAGGGTGGCACTATGCAGTTTAGGCTGGATTTGAACACACTATGTAGTTCAGGGTGGCCTTGAACTTTGTGGAGATCCAGCCGGGCGTGGTGATGCACACCTATAATCCCAGCACTGGGAGGCTGAGGCAGAAGGATTGCTGTGAGGTCCGGACTAGTTTGGACTACATAGTGAGTTCCAGGTCAGTCTCAATTACATGGTGAGACTCTGTCTCAAACAATAAAAAAACGAATAAACTTTGTGAATATCCTTCTGCCTCAGCTTCCTCCAGTGCTAGAGTTACAGGCATGTACCATCACACCTGGCCACACATCATTTAACATCTGATTTCATACTTATCTGAAAAATTGTTTCATATGCAAAAGTTTAATTTTCCTAGTAAGGCTCTGAAATTCTCAAGGGCAAGGGCCTTGTATCACCCACCAGACATAATACAACTTCATAAATACTATGTAACTTCAACCTGTAGCACTGATGGTGAATCTTGTAGAGCTTTCAATGATACAAACAGCCCACTGTGGTACATGTGCCATAAGTTCACCACCACTGCCAGAGTATCCTCTCAGCAGGAGAGGCACCAGGTAAAAGCTGATGAGAGTCATCTACACAATACTAACTAAAGCTACCATCAGGAACAATTTTAATGTGCAGTTGGTGCTCAACTTGCCAAATTAATCAGGTCATGTCTAAATGATCCCAGATATCTTGAAAAATGTCAAATCAAAGTGCACACTATTCACACAATATGAAGAGTTTGATTTTTGCTGGACACCAAGTTGTTCCTTTGGTTCTAATGATGGACACCAACATAATTGCTTTTTCTTTCTTTTTTTTTTTTTTTCCTTTTTTCTGTGATAGGGATTAAATCCAGGACCTTCTCCCTAAGCTATGTCCCCAACCCTTTTCTCATTTAAAATAGATTTGAGTCAGGGTCTTGCTAAATTGCCCAGGTTGGGTTCAAACTTGCAATCTTACTGCCTCAGCCTCTCTGAATACCTAGATTACAGGCATGCACCATTATGTCCAGCTACCAACAAAGTTTTTGATGAGAAATTTCTCCCAAAGATCATTTAAAAGGAAAGACTACAGGGCCAGGGATTTAACTCAGTGGCCCTGTGCCTGCCTCGCAAGTGCAAGGTCCTGAGTTTGATCCCCAGGACCAAAAAAAAAAAGAAAGACTATACATACACACACACAGAAAGAGCACAGTTAGGGATCACCTTTTCTCCTCTTCTAGTTGGTTAAGAAGTTCCACCTTCTCCCTATCAGCTGCTTCCACCATTGTTCGTAGCTGGTCCATCTTGGCCTCCAACTCCAGGACATGCTGGGGAAGCAAAGATGTCAATGAGCAGCCCAATTCCGATCCAGACTCAGGCCTAGAGATGCCTCCAGTCACAGCCCTGACAAGTTTAAATGCCATCTTACTGGATTATTCTAGGTAGGTTTTCTGGACACTAGATGAGAAACTACACCATTAATACAATAGAGGACAACATTAAATAACTCTCATCTTTTGGAAGCTGAAACATGTCAAAAGTAACCTACAGAAAGGAGCTGATCACTGCTCCGGCTCTAGTAAACAAGGTGGCTTAACACAGACAGGCCCGAAGACCTGGACATAAAGACCAAAAAACTAAGGCAGAATTCACAAGAACATCTTTACAATGATGGAAATTGGCACCCAGGTCACAGCTTTCCAACAAGCCCAGCAAAGAAACTGATACTCATTTCTGGTACTCTGAAGTCTAGCTCCCTGGCTCCAAGCACCATGGACACCTCTTGGCCTCAATTTACAAATGATCACCATCTCCACAACAAAGTCAGCACCAGACTTCACCTGGTCGTGCCCGTCCCGAGCCAGGGCTAGCTCCTGCTCTATCTCCCCCACGTGGCTGGTAGCCTTGGCCACCTCGGCCCGCTCCAGGTCCCGCTCAGCCAGCAGCTGTTCAATGTGCTGCTGCTTCTCCTTCAGCGCCTCCTGGAGGGCAGTGGTGCCCGAGATCTTGCGGGCGTAGCGGGAGGAGGTCTCAGTCAACTGCAAAGAAAAGTTAGAGAAGTGAAGGGCAATGATGCTCTGGGAACAGGGGCAGCGATGTGTGCGTGCCAGCGTCTCCTCAGTAAAGCCAAGAGTGCCGCCCAAGCTCGTAAGCTTGCCACATCCGAAGCAGGGCTTTGCAGCAAGAAAACAAGGCAGCTCACATCTCTGTTTTTCACCTCACAAAGAACACTTCAATGGAACACACTCATGAAACAACGGAGCACGTTTAGAACACACAGGTCAAATCACAGGTACTGTGAGCTCAGCTGATAGAGCCTTGCATGGATCTAGAAACATTCCTCAGAACCCATTTAACAAATCTCTAACTTTATACTGAATAGTTATCTTCTTGACTGCCAGGCATAGTGGAACAATCCTGTAATCCCAGCATTTAGGAGGCTGAGGAAGGAGGCCATGGTGGGCTTTGTAGTGAGCTCAAGGCCAGCGTGAACTGCACAATGAGACACTGTCTCAAAAATAAAAAAGTTATCTTCTTGTGATGACATTTGGGCCAATCTTTTGATCCAGTGACTTGAGACAGAGCCTTGTTTAAGCTTCCTAAGCTTTAAATACCATTAAGCTATGAAACAGTCACCCCAGAGTCAGAAACCTCCATTCCTGGCTAGATAGCTCAATTTTTTGTCAGGATTTTCTACCTCTTTCTTTTTAAAGGGAAAGGCAGGGAGATCTTAGCTAAAATTCCAGGATCAGAACCCCAAACACCAGAGAGTTTGACAGAGACAAAAAGGAAAACTCTCTCTGCCTTCCCAAGTGGGTGGCATGAGTGAGTTTGTCTGGGCACATACATACATGAGAGAGAAGGAAAAGAGAAATTTGTAAAGAAAGGAAAGCAGTGGTAAGGAGAAAGGAACAAGGAAAAAAGACACTAGAGAGAGTGGGGAGAAAGGAAAGGAGAAACAGCAGTGGGGTGGGGAGAAAGACAGGGAGTCAGGGGGCTCCAGTTCGGTTATCTGCTAGTCTCTGCTGTTTCCTATAACCGGTTCCTCCAACTCAGTGAACAGTCACGCAAAAACCACAGAAAATGACCCTGCCAACTGCCCGCAGGTGAGTGTGCAGGTGGAACCACTCAATCCTCTGCCTGTAGCTCCACAGCTGGGAGGAAGGGAGGAGACCGCCTCCTCCTTTGGCAAGAGTTTGTCCAAAGCTTTTCCTTAGCAAAGACAGGCTCCAGAGCAAATGAGCCATTACCTCATCTTCTGCAATCAAAGCTTCATTTGTTGCCAGAGATCTTTTCTCTTCAGCAGTCTGAAGAACCCTCACTGCAGGATGCACACTGATAGCAAGGAGCATTCATCAATTAATAACACAGCAATCTGATAACTGTGAGGGTAAATGAATCCGATCAAACTCAAACTGCCCTTTGCTGTTTCATGTAGTGAAATTTCTTAAACACAATGAATGGAGGGCCAGGGATTTAGCTCACTGGTTCTGCCACCTCCTTCACAAGTGCAAGGTCCCAAGTAAAATCCCCGGTACCAAAAAAACAAAAACAAAAACAAAACGTGAATGGAAATTTCTCTTCTCTCTTTTAACCATCTATCACACTTTCATTAGATGGTTAAATTATACTTTTTCTGACATCTCTTCCTGAGGTTCCCACCCAGCCTGTGGTCCCAAGACTCTAAAAGACTGAGGCATGAGGGTAACAAGTTCTAGCTCAGCCTGGACAACTTAGTAAGACCCTGTCTCAAAATAAAAAGTATAAGGGCTAGGGGTGTCTCTTAGTGTGAAGGGGAAGTGTTCATTTCCCTGTCCCACAGGGGGGAAAAAAATTGAGGTTCCTAAACCATGTGCAGAGACGCCCCAGAGGGTCTTCGCAAACTTCAAGGGCACTGCAGGATGTTTTAAGACATCAAGAGAAACAGAGCTCTCTGCTGGACACCACGCAAAAGACTGGACCAAGACAACTCATCTTCGACATTACACTGTACTCCATTCCTTTGCAAAGCTAGGTTGTGGCTGCTGCCAAGAACAAAAACAGCAGTACTCTGCAAAAATCAGCATAGCGTAAGAAATGAAGGTGGCAGTGATAGAAATGATTCCAAGATTTGATGAGTTATTGCAGTTACTGAAGAGTAAGCAAAAAATATTAATTTTTTTCAACTTATTCTCTAGGACAAAAATATATCTCTTAAGCAACATAGCTGAAATTGTACTTTCACTGAATCAATATCCTTGGCTGGGGATGTAGCTCAGTGGCACAGTGCTTGTCTGGGAAGTGCAAGGTCCCGAGTTTGATCCCCAGTATCAGGAAAAAGAAGAAAGAAAGAAAAAAAAAGATCTGACATCCCTGTCATCCTCCTTCCCAGTCACTTTGGTTTAGAAACAAGCCATTGCACAGGGCAAGAAGATTCATTTCTCTTTCACCAGTTTTCTTAACTGAATAAGCTGAGCTCACAGAAATCAAGACTCGTCTGTAAGTCTGTTAAGAGACTGGTGGGAGCAAGAAGAGCTTAGTAATACCTAAAGAAGGACACATCATTTACAAGGCAATAAAAATTGCTCAAAAAGAATTCTACCTCAGAGCAGACGCTCTTGTGGAATTGTTCTGGTAACAGAGACAAGATGCCTGAGGTAGAGCTTGCTGAATCTTTTCTACAAGGCTTCGTTGTTCTTGTCACCCTTTCCTGTAAGAGTCCACCTGTCATTTTTCTGTTGAGATACAGTCCTTCTTTTCATATACAAATGGAAATAGTCCAAGTGGTCTTTATTTGACCTGAGTATAAGAGAAGGAAACTAGCTGGCTGGCAGAGGAGCACAACACACACTTGAAGATCCCACCAGCTCTCCGCTCTCTGCCTGATGAGAAGGAAAGAGAAGGCAAAAACAGATCAAGGGCTAGAAACCCCAGTGCCCTGCTGCGCTATGGAACTTCCTCATGCCTGTCTCAGGTCTGCTCTTAGGAAGTACAGATCCTGAACTCAGTCGGGAGTGGAATCTTCTGATGTCAACAGCACCTGCTTCATTTCAAGTGATTAAACTCAAGGGCACAGGATGAAGCTGAAACAGTTATTGCTTTTAACCCAAAAAGAGTACCATGTTAACAAAAAGAATGCGGCACTATTTTAATTCTGATGGTTCTATTTTCACTGCTGTAAACAGAAAGGAGACAGTGAGAGCGACCAGGAGCAAAAGATGAAGAGGGAGGGGACACAAAGTACAACAGAGCTCTTTTAAGTTCTACAAGGCTGCCTCTGCGTCCTCTAGCCCTTGTCAGAACTCCACACATTAACTGCTTTCAGTGGGGTAGTTGTATTACTATTAAAATTCTAAGAACATGACTTGTTCAAAATACTTTGGTTCCTAAAATTGTCTGAAGTCAAAAGGAGAGAGACCTACAGTACGTCCCTGAAGAAAAGGAGTCCTTTCATCTTCCTGTCATTTTTAGCCCAAAATAATTTCAGAGAAAAAAATAAGCAGTAGTTTCCAGGAACTGATAAGATTTTCACATCTTTATGAATCTGAAAAGCACTATTAAAAATACTTTTCTATTTCAAATCCTGTATTCCTGCTGGAGCTACCCTGTCACCCTCCAGTAAGCAATAGCCAACACTCAGCAAAAGGACAAGCAGGGCGCAGGCAGCAGAGGATGCAGCAAGGGGTGAGAGGGAGGCTCACCAGTCCTGTCCGGCTGGGCTTGCTGCTCACGGAGGAGGCCACCGAGCTCACAGAGCTGAGGGAGGAGGCAGATGGGCTGCGCTTCAGGCTGGCAGGTGTGGTGGCCATCACTCGTCGCACGGCGGCTGCCTTGGCTTTGGCTGGTGTGGTTGAAGGGAAGCCAATCTTGGTCACTTTGTGGACAGGAGCAAACAAGCCATACTTGGCTTGACACTGAAAATATCTGTAGAGAGGGCCAATAGTAATGAGAAACATATTAACAAGAAGTAATGGCAATGACAGAATGGCTCTCCCAACCCCCACGGACTCCTCAGCCGGAGTCACACCTGGACACACACAGGTGCACACAGCCAGTGGCCTGCGCCTGCATGCAGCTGGACACAGACCTTCAAGGGTATTCTGGGAACCACACTGAACCTATGTGATACCTAGAGAGAGGGGGATGCTTATCTGAAGTTGGTTTCTATGCAAAGGGCATAAATGTTGATATCATCTAATAAATGAACAGCAGAGGAGTCCAGCAATATAGTGATTCAGCTTAATAAATCCATGCCAGGCAGGTTTATTTACTACCAAGATTCTTCCTCAAAATAAAAGTGAAAAGGGCTGGGGATAGCACTCAGTGTGGAGGTCCTGTGTTCAATCCCAATATAGGCAGGGGGACAACAAGCTGAATAAAGGAATAAAGAAATCAAGCCTCCGCCTGTGGCAAATCCACTAACATTAACACAGAGAAAGATTAACTAGTAAGTCAGTCATCAAGACTACCATTAGAGATCCTGGCTCAAGAAGTACAATGTTCTAATAGGAAGTGTTACCGTCGGAATCACTGATGTATCAAGAGAATTTTTTCCAATGATGAATGTCATTATATTGAACATTTAAAATGTGCCAATAAAATTCTTTTTTTTTTTGAGACAAGGTCTCACTATGTAGTTAAGACTGACCTGGAACTCACTATGTAGCCCAGGCTGGCTTCAAACTCGTGGTGACCCTCCAGCCTCAGCCTCCTGAGTTCTGGGATTACAGGGGTGTACCAACACACCCAGATCAAATTTATCCTTTTTTTTTGGTTTTTTGAGACAGGGTCTCTCTATGTAGTTGAGACTGACCTGGAACTCATTATGTAGCCCAGACTAGTCTCCAACTCACAACGATCCCCCTGCCTCAGGCTCCCGAGTGCTGGGATTACAGGCATGCACCACCATGCCCAGCTAATAAAATTAACTTTAAAAAAACAGATTTTTATTTCTAGGAATCATTTTGTTTTGGTAGATAAAGCCCATGTACTTATAATCAATATCTGTTTTTTTCTTTTGAGACAGGGTCTTGCTATGTAGTTCAGACTGGTCCCGAACTATGTAGCCCATGCTGGCCTCAAGCTTTGCAGTGATCTCCTGCCTCAGCTGCTTAGTGCTCAAATTATAAGCGTGCATGCACCATGCCTGGCTCTTAATCAGTGTGCTATGAGTTGGCTATATGTTTTTTTTGGGGGGGTTATTTTGTTTTCTCGTTGAGTTTATTGGTACTTTTAAAGTACACAGTACAGTTACATTTATCATTGGGATCTTGCACCTTTACGTAACAGATCTTGGTTATCATTTTTTCCCCGTACCCCTGCCCTCTCGTCACCCTTTCCCCTTTCCCCTATTTACAAAGACTTTGTTTCCATTTCTTCCTTTTTATATTTTTTTCTTTTCCTTTATTTCCTTTCCCCTATCCCCACACCTTTAGCCCTTTTCTTCCTATTTCACATTGTCAGTTATACAATTTGGATCTTATTTACACTTTTAGTTTTTCACACCAGAGAAACTATTTGGTATTTATACATGTGTCTTATTTATTTCACTTAACAATATGGCCTCAATATGCATCCATTTTCGTATGAATGACTCTAGTTTCTCAAGCTTTTTGGCTGAGTAGTACTCCATTTTATAGAAAAAACACATCTTCTTTATCCAGTCTCCAACTTATGCGGCAATTGGGCTATTTCCAAGTTTTAGCCATTACAAACTGTGCCACTATAAACATGTGTGTGCATATTTCACTGTGGTATGGTTCTTTTAATTCTTTTGGAAAGGTACCCAGCAGAGGGATGGCTGGGCTGAATGGAACCTCTAGTCCTAGATGTTTGAAATATCCACAGTGGTTGCACCAGTCTTCACTCCCACCAACAATGGAGAAGGGTTCCTTTCTCCAAGTTGACTATATGTTTTTTGGTGGGGGGTACCAGGGATCGAGTTCCAGACCTTGCACTTGTGAGACAGGCAGCGGCACCACTGAGCTAAATCCCCAGCCCAATTATATGTTAGCTACAAGATTTCAGTGATCAAGTGACACATTTATATGTATTGTATACTTGATAATAATAGTGCTTTATCTACCATATCTGCAGCAAGGACTTCAAAGCATCTGAAAAGAAGTGTGAGAGCTGTAAGGTGTGGTGGCATATGCCTGGAATGACAGATGCTCAGGAGTGCTGAGGCAACAGGATAACAAATTTGTAAGTCCAAGGCCAGCCTGGGCAACTTAGCAAGACACTGCCTCAAAATAAAAAGGGCCAGGGATAAAGCTCAGTGGTTAAGAACAACTGGACTCTATCTTCATTACTTGGAGAGGAAAAAAAGTTTGGAAAATGCCTCTTACATTCCTTTGCATTACTTCAATCCCGCCTACACTCACATCCTATACCAGTAGGCAAAAGTGAGGTTATCCTTGCACGGAGAGAGGTGCTTATCAGCCAGTCCCTTGCCACAGGACGCAATTCTTATCAGACATTTCCTAACGAAGGCAGTCACCTTCCCTTTCTCTCATTCCACCCCACGACATTAGGAACTTGCATAGATCGACTGCTATCAAAAAAGAAAAGAAATCCAAAGAATAACATTTTTTTTTTTTTTTGTACCAGGGATAGAACTTGGGACCTTGAAACACAAGGTGAAGCAGGGATCTGAACCACAGCTAAATTCCCAGCAACTGATAACATTTCTATTTTGAAAAATAAACCTAATGCTTATTCAAAATCTACTCAGATATACCTTACACATTACTAAACAGGTAGTTAAAAAGAACAACTCCAATTCTAGTGTGGTTGGTGGGTGGGAGAGACAGGTTGCTGGGCATAGCAGTTCATATCTATAATCCCATGGGCTGGGGATTTAGCTCAGTGGTTCCGCCACCTGTCTCACAAGCGTAAGGCCCCTAGTTCAATCCCCAGTACCAGAAAAAACATTCCCAGTACTCTATCTATAATCCCAGCTACTCAGGAGGCTGAGGCAAGAGGATCACAAGTTCCAGGCCAGCCTGGATAACTTAGCGAGATCCTGTTTCAAAAATTAAAACAGTAAGCTGGGCATGGTGGCACACACCTGTAATCCCAGCACTCGGGAGGCTGAGGCAGGAGGATCACTGCGAGTTCTTGAACTGCCTGGGCTACACAGGGAGTTCCAGGTCAGTCTCAACTACACAGTGAGACCCTGTCTCAAAAAAGCCAAAAAATGGCTGGGGATTTAGCTCAGTGGTCCCGCCGCCTGCCTCGCCAGTGCAAGGGCCCGAGTTCAATTCCCAATATCAAAAAATAAATAAATAAAACTAATAATTTTTTTAAAAGTTGTAAGGGTTGGGATGTAGCTCAGTGGTGGAGCCTCTCTGGGTTCAATCCCCAACACTGAATAAAAGGGAGGGAGGGAGAGAATCCAGTAGGCAGGAAATAAACTTCAGCCCTTCAGAGAATTCCTTTCCATTTTATTCCACACACTTGAGATGCACTGGAGCACTTTCCCATGCAAGACAGATGCATAATGTCACATAATTCCAAACCAACCTTGTTCCAGCGACAGCACCATCGTTCTTCCCGAGAGGTTCATCTAACTCCACACCACACCATTCCCCCTTGGCAAAGTCAGTCTCTCCCAGAAACCGGACTACACCAGCCTTGGTGCCACCAACCTGGAAGAAGAGAAGGTTCAGATGAAGAGATGGACATAACTGCACAGCTCAGTGGTTACGTGGTGCATCCTATCATTTCCATCAGCAGCTACTTTACTTTGTTTTCTCTTCAATTTTCCAAGAGTTCTCAAAAGACCCACTGGCAAAGTTACCTGGGGATGTACATTGCCAGAGTGAGTCCATACTTGGTATTGTCCAATAATGAAACAGCTTATATGTCAACATTCTCTTCCTTAGAAAAATACTTTATCACCACAGAGGAATTTTCCTGGCTGGAAATAAGTATCTGCTACAAAATAAAGACCCTACATCATCAAAGGGAAGCAAAATTCATCTGTGATTCCTAGGCCAGGCATGGTGGTGCACTCCTGTATTTCCAGCACCCCAGAGGCTGAGGCAGAGGATCACCATGAGTTCATTGCCAGCCTGGGCTATGAGTTCAGGGCCAACTACAGTGACACCCTGTCTGTAAAAAACAAAACAAAACAAAAAAATTCATCTGTGATTCCTATTAACAGTCATTGTTTAGGGGCCATTGTTTAGGGGCTCAGTGGTGCTGCCGCCTGCCTTAAGGTCGCGAGTCCAATCCCTGGTACCAAAAAAAAAAATCAGTGTTTATTTTTTCAGACTTCCTTTATACATTAGCCATGAAAGCAACAACAAGCATATTATTTTTGTTTTGTTTTTTGGTACTGGGGATCAAACTTGGGCCCTTGTGCTTGTAAGGCAGGCAGAGGAACCAAACCATGCTCCGGCTCGTCCCACCAGAGTTCCGGAGACTGAGCAAGCTGACTGCTTGAGGGGTATGGTGAAGGATAAAAGACAAAGACAATTTTTCAGATAAATTTTGCTGGGAGGTCAGTGCCTCAGCTCAAGCAAAAGATAAAGACTCTCTAAGTTTGCCACTATTTACTGAGTACGCATAGGCAATCAGAGGAGGTGGTGAGTGACTCAAAGAACAGCTATGGTGGGTGCATGGTGCATACAATGGGCTAGTAAAAGAAGAGCAAAATATTCTCATAAGAATAGAGCAGAAGTGGGCTGGGGATTTAGCTCAGTGGTTCTGCTGCCTGCCTCACAAGCTCAAGGATCTGAGTTGGATCCCAGAATAGAGCAGAAGGGCCAGGGATGTAGCTCAGTGTTGCAGAGCACCTGCCTGGCCAACGTGAGGCCCTGAGTTTGATTTCCAGTACCAAAGGAAAAAAAAAGGAATAGAGTATAAGTTTATAGGGAACCTGATTTTTCACCCTAAGTGAGACTTTAACGTCTAATCCACTGCATTGTTCTGAAGAATTATGTTATCTTGTCCTATGAGTATCACAGCTTTGTGGGTTGTTCCTCCTTGAGCAAGCAGTATCCGCACACCAACCTGCCCATAAAGCAAAATACATAGAAAGGAGCCCAGTGGGAGGCGCTAGGCCACACAGGCACTGCCTTCTGTGCAAGTGAGTTCTAACTCTTCAGGACTGGATCAGCTCTCAGGAAAGAAGGCTGATTTAAAGTGAGTCTAGGCTTTCTCTAGCTTCCAATCCCCAAAACACTGCTTGCCTTTCTACCTTGAAGTCCTCGCCAGAAACTTACCAGACACCTAAACCATGTGCTTGGACTCTCAGCCTCCAGAATCATGAGCTAATAAACCTCTTTTCTATCTAAATTTCCCAGCCTCAGGAATTCTGATGCAGTGGCAGAAAATGCAGGCATGTTGTGCTAGCTATTTAGTATTCCACAGAACAGATGTACTTCAAAATGCATTTTTCTTATTTCTCAATTGGGATTAAAACGGCTCTTTACCTTTTTTTTTTTTTTTTTTTTTGGATACGGGGTCTAGTCTAGGCTGATCTTGAAAAGCTTTTTCTAAAACTGGTTTAAGCAATAAGAGAAGCGATGATTTCAAGGCCACGTGAGCAAAAAGGGTACAAGAAAGAAGCACCAGGACATTCAGAACTATACTGGTGTCGTGCTAGGTGCGACTAACAAAGCTGGAGCTGGAAGATGAAGAAAACTCCATGGACAGCAGCTCTGCTGTTTGTCAACACCACCTGCACTGCCAGCAGAGCACAGAGCAGAATTCAATAGCTGAATGAATGAAAAGTGACCTCAGCTGGAAGACACACAGAAAAGACTACTTTTAAGACACACGTAGGGATATGTCTGTAACCCACACTACTTGGGAGGCTGAGGCAGAAGGATCCCAAGCAGGAGACCAGCCTGGATGGATTAGACCAGCGATAGCAAATATTTTAGAGTTTTCAATGAAAACAAACAGCCTGCTGCAGCACACAGAGGTTCACAACCACCAGCTTAGACCCTTTAATCTTAAAAAAAATTAAAAGAACTAGGGACATAGCACAAAGGCCCTAAGTTGTCTTTAGTACTAAGAAAATGAGAAAACAGTATAAGAAAAGAAAGCAAGAAAGGAGAGAAGAGAAAAAGGAAGGACCACTTTTCCAAATAAAATAAGTAGGTAAAAGAAAAAAAAAAAGTAAGGGCTGATGATTTAGCTCACCCAGTACTGGGGAGGGGGGACTAGAAAAGAAGAAAATGGGCATCGTGGCGCACCTGTAATCTCAACTGTCTGGGATGGCGATGCAAGGGGATTGCAAGTCCAAATCCAGCATGGGTAACTTAACTGACTTAGTGAGATCTCAAAAAGAAAGTCTGGGAATATAAATCAGTGTGAAGGCCCTGGATTCAATTCCCAGTACCACTGGGCAGATCAGTCCTGTGACAGACTGAATTTGAAGTTTTGATGCCTCTGAAAGCAGCAATGGAAGAAATATACTAGCCAAGAGCATGGGTTCTAAACTAAGACACTCATGGAGCCAGCTCCACCTAGCAAATGGCCAAGTTATTTATGTGATTTCTAAATTATGCTTCATTAGTAAAACGGGTAATTATAGGTCTATTCTGAGGACTAACTGAGATAATCCACATAAAACCGCTCAGAGGCCGGGCATTTAGCTCAGTGGTTTCACTATCTGCCTTGCAAGCGCGCAAGGTCCTAAATTCAATCCCCAGTACCCCCCCAAAAAACAAAACAAAAAAAAAAAACAAAAAACCAACAACAACAAAAACTGCTCAGACAGGGGGGAGCCTGATGGTGAGCAGCAGTGAGTCTGTCCCTGGGAACAAGAGTCAGAGCTCCAGCCTGGGTACTGGACTCTCATGCTCTTGCTGGTATTTACAGGATTGAGTCCCCTATACAAAACTGACCGACGTTATCTCTTCCTTCTCTGCCACCCACTCAGGGTGGCAGTTTAACTAAAATCACCCAAAGGGAGCACGTCACATTAGGTAAGGATGATGTAATCTCCTCAAATAATCAACAGAATTCTTTGGGGGTGAGTCAAAGTTAACACAATTGTTTTTCCAAGAGACATCTAACAGGCTATGGTCTATAACTCTCCAAGCAAACCAGACTTCACTCAGATGGCTTTATAAAAACAACCATTTACAAAGGATTCACTACTTCTACAAATGCACATAAAATATATCCACCCTGAAAAATATACCTTCCCACAAGCTTGTTTACAATGGATGATCACTAGGTCCAAGAATGGGACATTTTCTTATTCTTTTTCTCCTACCAAACTTGGAACTTCTGACTCATAAAATAGTAAGTTCAATTTCTCTTTCCAATGAAAGATCATGGGTAATTATTTAAAACATCTTCAATGAAGACAGTAAATTATATATAAGTCCTAAAACCACTCAAACACTTTTCTACTTATTCATTCCATAGTCAAAAAAATTTAAGCATTCAAACGTGAGTTCATAAAGTCAGGTTTTACTTCTCGTGTACGAGAGAATGCAGAATATGTCACTCTTTTAAATCCTCCCTAATCAGCACAACAGCACTTACCTGGCAAGCATGAGGCCCTATCTATTCCCAGTACAAAAAAACAGAACAGAACAGAACAACCAAAACCAATCTAATCCTGCCTAAGATATCTGTGTTCTAGGCAGATATAAAAATTACTAAACTTGGTATGATGGCACAAGCCTGTAACTCCAGCACTCTGGGACAGGCTGAGGCAGGACTGAGATTCAATCCCAACCCGAACAATTCAGTGACTTAATGAGACTATCTCAAAAAATAAAAAGTAGGGCCTGGGATTTAGCTCAGTAGTTCTGATGCCTACCTCGCAAGTGCAAGAGTTTGATCCCTGGTACAGGAAAAAAAATAAATAAATAAAAGAGCTGAAGCCGGACGTGGTGGCGCACACCTGTAATCCCAGCATGGAGGTTGAGGCAGGAGGCTCACTGTGAGTTCGAGACCAGCCTGGGCTACATAGTGAGTTCCAGGCCAGTCTCAACTATGTAGTGAGATCCTGTCTCAAAAA